TGGTAATAAAATTAAATTAAAATGCGTCATATTGGAAAAGTGGCAAATTACAACTACTCAATTGTAGTAATTAATTACTAGTCTCTATTTTTAACTGCAGATAACATGTTCGCATGTTGACAACGCATAAAAAGAACAGAAGGCTTACCAAACCCTATATTAAGAAAAAAAAATCATCAACGTAAAGTATATCCTGCTCACTCCGGCTGAAAGACGCCCCATTATTTTCTTTCTTTCTTTCTTTTTTTTTTTTTTATTATTATTATTGCTTGTTTGTTTTAATTAACCAGAAAGTCAAATCAGTATCTTAAAATTTTCGGTTATTCACTATACAACAAAGCAACAACTATTTCAATTCAGCCATTAATAACACGTACGAGTGGGGTATGGTTCATTTGAGTATATTAAAGAATGGTTTTATTTTCGCTATTTAAGTTTTCTCTCATTGCACTAAGATGTACCCCATGGCTTTGATGCGTGTTGCGGGAAACTTCCATCCATGTTCATTTCCACACGTATTGGTGTCATCGTGAGCCCCGCCTGTACCAAATCCGATTCTGGAGTCACAGCTTTTGCAGTTGTTCTCGTTGTTACCAAGGATACCGATTCTTGCNTATATTTTTTTTTCGCTCGAAGTTGTCCGTCCTCGTTTTCCACAATTGCCTATATATATATATATATATATATATATATATATATATATATTTAATTTAGTCTATATTTTTAACTGCAAATAACATGTTCGCATGTTGACAACGGATAAACAGAACAGAAGGCTTAGCAAACCCTATATTAGGAAAAAAAAAATCAACTTAAAGTATATCCTGCTCACTTCGGCTGAAAGACGCCCCATTATTTTCTTTCTTTCTTTCTTTTTCTTTCTTTTTTTCTTTTTTTATTATTATTGCTTGTTTGTTTTAATTAACCAGAAAGTCAAATCAGTATCTTAAAATTTTCGGCTATTCACTATACAGCAAAACAACAACTATTTCAATTCAGCCATTAATAACACCTACGAGTGGGGTATATGGTTCATTTGAGTATATTAAAGAATGGTTTTACTTTCGCTATTTAAGTTTTCTCTCATTGCACCAAGATGTACCCCATGGCTTTGATGCGTGTGGCGGGAAACTTCCATCCATGTTCATTTCCACACGTATTGGTTTCATCGTGAGCCCCGCCTATACCAAATCCGATTCTGGAGTCACAGCTTTTGCAGTTGTTCTCGTTGTTACCAAGGATACCGATTCTTGCTTTCGAAGCCCCGCTTTCTTCACTAAGAGCATTAAACCCCTCCCTGTTACAGTAGTTTTGCAAAGACGCCTGTGATCCAATCAGTATCTTCCACGTGTTACGACCCAGTGAGGTGGCGCGGTATTGCCCGTCAGCGATTAGTGAGTAGAGAGATTTTGCCTGCTTGTTGATGGCAATGAAGTTGATCTGTTGGCCGATCTTCATACCAAGACAAATCTTGGAGAAGGGTGTGTTCCAGTAGGTTGGTAACTTGGTCTCTTGTGCATCAAATCCGGTCTCCCCTCCAGGAAGGTTGTACTCTATTTTATTATTCCAATACTTCGAGTCAAAGTGAAAGGTATTCTAAAAGAGAATTAGTGAATTAAATCAGGTTTCTTTCCTCTAACTGCTGTCCTTGTTGAGATTATAATCCTATGATCAGGTATTATCATTTTTTCAATAACATGACTGTTTGATGCCTTTCTGAAAGCCATATGTAAGAAATATTGTAAGTTGTTCCTCTGTGAAAAATAACCAATAGAATATTACTCCATGGTTTCAAAGCCTCAACGAGTGATCCACGTCTCTTCATTTGTCACTTAGTACAAGTTATTAACTTAACTGACTGATTTCCGTCTCGAACTTCCACATCCTGCGCATCATTGGAGTCCTGAGAAGCTGACCTCCATTAAATTCATTCACAGTAGTTTGAAAGTCTCGATTTTGGCATGAAATCATTCTGCGGCGAACGTGATTTAAAACTTGAATAGAGTTATACCTTGTTGCCGTCAATTTTCATAATCAGCGTCCATCCTCCATCTCCACATCCAAAATCTTCCAGTTGGCAGAAAACGGAAGTTGGTTTTGAGTCTAAATTGAGGGTAAANTTCCACGTGTTACGACCCAGTGAGGTGGCGCGGTATTGCCCGTCAGCGATTAGTGAGTAGAGAGATTTTGCCTGCTTGTTGATGACAATGAAGTTGATCTGTTGGCCGATCTTCATGCCAAGACAAATCTTGGAGAAGGGTGTGTTCCAGTAGGTTGGTAACTTGGTCTCTTGTGCATCAAATCTGGTCTCCCCTCCAGGAAGGTTGTACACTATTTTGTTATTCCAATACTCCGAGTCAAAGTGAAAGGTATTCTAAAAGAGAATCAATGAATTAAATCAGGTTTCCCCTGAGTGACTGCTGTCCTTGCTGTGATTATAAATCTATGATCAGGTATTATTATTTTTTCCAATAACATGACTGTTTGATGCCTGTCTGAAAGCCATATGTAAGAAATATTGTAAGTTGTTCCTCTGTGAAAAATAACCAATAAAATATTACTCAACGAATGATCCACGTCTCTTCATTTGTCACTTAGTACAAGTTATTAACTTAACTGATTTCCGTCGCAAACTTCCACGTCCCGCGCATTATTGGAGTCCTGAGAAGCTGCCCTCCATGAAATTTATTCACAGTAGTTTGAAAGTCTCGATTTTGGCATGAAATCATTTTGCGGCGAACGTGATTTAGAACTTGAATAGAGCTATACCTTGTTGCCGTCAATTTTCATAAGCGGCGTCCATCCTCCATCTCCACATCCAAAATCTTCCAGTTGGCAGAAAACGGAAGTTGGTTTTGAGTCTAAATTGAGGGTAAACGCCTGACTCATGTCTGACCTATTAAATTAAAAAAAAAAAA